CTGCTGCTGCTGCTGCTGCTGCTGCTCTTCTTTGCTGCTCTTGCTTGCGCCTGCTGTCTTCTTTCCTGCTGCTGTTCCGTTCACACCCTCAGGCGAAGCCTCGGAAAGGGCCTGCAGCTCTGCAGCAGCAAAAGAAACAGCACGCGCCGCCACCAAACCGCATGCAGCAGCAGCAACAGCAGCAGCAGCAGCAGCAACAGCAGCAGCAGGCAGGGTTACAGCAACACCGACAGCAATACCCAGGCCCAGTGCTCCGGCCGCACCCACAACAACAACAGCACCAGCAGAAACAGCAACCGCAGCAGCAGCAGCAGCAGCAACAACAGCCACATCATCATGAGCCCGATCATCAGTCGCAGCAGCATCACCAGCACTAGCAGCAGCAGCAGCATCACCAGCACTAGCAGCAGCAGCAGCAGCAGCAGCAGCAGCAGCAGCAACATACCTTGACAGTCAACGAACTGTATGGCTACTCCTTTTGCTATAAGAAAGGAGACGAGGTCCCTGGGTGCGAGGGCAATAGACTCAAAGTTGTGCAGCGGGTGCACCAGCACCGGCTCCTCTCCGTCCTTCAGCTTCGCGTCCAGCAGAAATGTCACTTCCTTCCTGCAGCAGCAGCAGCAGCAGCAGGTGCAGCAGGAGATGCAGCAGCAGCAGCAGCAGCAGCAGCAGGTGCAGCAGGAGATGCAGCAGCAGCAATAGATGCAGAAGCAGGAAAAAACACCCTATACGGCTCATATACGGCATACAGGGCCCGCCAGAAGCGGATCCTCGGCTGCAGCAGCAGCTGTAGCAGCAGCATCTGCAGCAGCAGCTGCTGCTAAGCTGCAGCAACAGCAGCAAATGCTACAGCAGCAACATAAGCTGCAGCAACAACAGCCGCAAGTGCAGCAGCTACAGTGGCAGCAGCATGATCCTCATTTGCAAGAGCAGCAACTCCAGCACCACTAGCAGCAGTAACCGCAGCAACCCCAGCAACACCAGCAACAGCACCAGCAGCAGCAGCAGCAGCAACAGCAGCAGGAGCAGCAGCAGCAGGTTTACTTTTCATCGTTGAGCATAGCCAGGGGGGTAACACAGCCCGGCAAGACGTTGAGCGTGGCCTCGAGTATCTTCTCGTCAGCCAGCCGCAGCTTCTGAACCCCCAGCTTCGTCATCAGGCCCTTCAGGGGGGTTGGTGAATCCTATAGAAACACAAACACAATACTCCTGCTCCTGCTGCTGCTGCTGCTGCTGCTGTTGCTGCTGTTGTTATTGCTGTTGTTGCTGTTGTTGTTTATGTATATATGAGCATGAATATTATTGTGGCCGTGCTGCTGCTGCTGATGTTCCTGGACTGGGGTGATGCCGGACGCACTCTGCTGCTGCTAGGGTTTATTGCTAGGGTTTAGTGTTTAGGGTTTAGGGTTTAGGGTTTAGGGTTTAGGGTTACATGGAGGGCGGTGAGTAGAAAGAGGCTGCCTTTTTTGTCCTTTAAGAAGAGGTTTTTGCATACGGGGATGCCGAGGCTGCCGACAGCTGAAATTAACTCCTCTACAGTAGATGCTTTCTGGTGTCTGTGCTCCTGTATACAGCAGCAGCAGCAGCAACAGCAACAGCAGCAGCAGCAGCAGCAGCAGCAGCAACGGGGAGAGAAAATGTTGTTGCAGCAGCAGCAATAGCTGAGGGAGTACTAGAAGCA